ACAATCTAAACGCTTATAATGTTTAATCAAAATGTAAGAATAATTATTTATTAATGGCAGCACTAAATCATTAAATAATTAAAATAGTAATTCATTCCTAAATAAACATAATTAATCATTCAATAAAATGTGTGATTATAATTGTTTAGCGCATAGTATTCAATACAATTTTACCAATTTTAGTTTTGTTTTCAATTTTACAGCCATTAAATTTATTGGTAGTATTTTACGAGCAATTTTGCTAAAAATCTAATTATATTATTTAATTGAGTTTTATTTTCATTTTGTAACTAAAGCTCGCACTCATTGTACAGTACAGTAAGGGTAGCAATAATAACAATGTGAATCAATTGGTAAAACTTTGTAATTCTTTTGGCTAACAACAGCCCATCGTCTGAACCCCTTATTAAATATTTATCGCATAGTTTTCAAAAACTTAATTTAAATTTAATTATCTACTGATAAGATATAGCGTTTCCTCGTTTTTAAATATTTAGAAAACAACAGTAATTACTAAAGCCTTTCAAAATATGCATTTATAAGCACTCAAATATGTCATATAATATGCACTAAAAAGTGGCCAAATATGCACTCAAATATGCACTTATAATTCTGTAAATATACTATATTAATATTATTTAATATAGTTTACAAGCAAAATGACGAAATGTTATGATGAAGATGATCATTAGGCCTTAAAAACTCATTTAAATATTCTAAATTACAAATAAAATATTTATTAAATATATATGGCTTATTTTTAAATGCTGTAATAATTGCTAGAACTACATAAGGTAATATTTTAACACTAATATACAATGTTAATCAGATAAATATTTGTTTAATGACTTAATATTTGGTCCAATTATGTAATTAATTAAAAATTTTCTAATAGATTAGACATTTTAGTTATTATTTTAAAGCAAATTAATGCTTTTTATGCTTTTGGACCAAATATGCAGTTATATGCATTTATGAGCCAAATATGCATTTATATGCAAAATAAAAGTTTGTTAAAACACCCCTTATTATGTGATTCGTTTGCCCCTAAAGTCCCAAACATATATAACTAACCGGTAAAAACATGCATTTGCATGATATGAAAGGCTTTAGTAATTACTATAATTTCCTGAAATACTATTTGTGTTTTTAAACAAAAATAAATACCGGGAATCGTTAGCTGTAAGGAAGAGATGGACTAACTCTTTGATATGAGTTATATTCCTTCCGATTTGATTAAGTAATTACTATAATTTCCTGAAATACTATTTGTGTTTTTAAACAAAAATAAATACCGGGAATCGTTAGCTGTAAGGAAGAGATGGACTAACTCTTTGATATGAGTTATATTCCTTCCGATTTGATTAATAGAGTAATTGTCTTCAGTGTAGGCGAAGTCGAATGTATAGACCTGTTGGGGTCCGATATGCTTCTTACCAATTATACCTATTCAGTAGCGCACAGATAGTGTTACTAATCATTTATAAACCCCAATTAATCTTAATTCTAGTGTCTTAAGGCTATGTAGACATTGATATAATCTCTACACTTAAAGCCCGGACGACATACCGGTGCGGACGCCTCTGGCGCTTACAATATTCGGTAAACTCTTAACCGAATCAAATGAGTTGAAGTGATGTACGGTTTGATGCAAACCATACATACCGTTCTGATGGGACGGCAAACCAGTCAACACCGACGCCCGACTCGGCGAACAAGAGCTCACGGATGTGAACGCGTTCTCAAAGATAACGCTCCTATCAAATGGGTTTCATTGGATTTGATTGAATAATACAATTTGTCGACAATTTAATTATTGATTAATACATACCGTTTTGCCAGTGCCTCCAAGTTTGGCGTTTTGCAAATTGAGTTATTATAGACTGAGGTCTCCAGACCCGCGTCATCCGCTATGTATGGGTTTTCAGACAAACGTCAAAACAATTTTTTTTGCATAAATGTTTAATTATATAAATTTCAATTACTCCTCATTTGTCATAAGAATTTGATTGAATTTCATAATACAAACCAAAGATAAAGAGAACATTCTTTGCATTGTTTGAGTGTTGTCTCAATGCGTCCACAATTAAGCCATTCATACAAATGGTAATTATATTAATAACGAGACAAAACTGAACACTCATTTCAGTGCTTTATAACGAATTGTCAAAACTATTGTATAATTATTTTCAAGAATCGATTTGTTTATAACGATGAGAGAGATTAGTAAAAGTGGGAGAGAGTGAGAGACTTAAGTGAGTCGTCAACCACTTGTCTGGCGATTGGTTTTTGTCTATAAGGATAAACACTGTATAGGAATTGAATGAATTCTCAATAATAAAAGCCTTGAAACTATTTTTGTTTAACTATTAAACTGACTTTANTGAGAGACTTAAGTGAGTCGTCAACCACTTGTCTGGCGATTGGTTTTTGTCTATAAGGATAAACACTGTATAGGAATTGAATGAATTCTCAATAATAAAAGCCTTGAAACTATTTTTGTTTAACTATTAAACTGACTTTATATTTAACAATAGTTCACAAACATTGGACTCTTATTTTCGTTATAAATAAATATCTTTATAACAAACCGGGTCTCTCTCT